AGTCTACATAATATTTTTCCAGTTTAAAAATTTACACAATACAAGTAAATAGTTGTATTCAAGAGTCACTTATTAATTGAAATATAATCTTGATATTTATAGAGGCTATTTTATGTATCTTATTAGCATACCATTGGATTTGAATCTTAACAAATTGGTTATAATTTTTTAGCATCTTTAAAGGTCAAAGTTACCCAGAAAATTAAGACCTTGACGTACCTATTAATTATCTGATGTTCTAATGGGCGTGTCTGAAGCAAAATTAAGTTATTCCTTAATCTAGATCTAGTACCTAATTTATGATAAAGGGTATGCGTCGATGAAACGACATTGTATTCAGCTTTTTTTACCATAAAAAAAAGTACTTTAGTGCTTTGTTTAATATTTACTTTTAGGAAAAGTATTTTTCTTATGAAAGAAAGAGAGACTAAAAGAAATTGGCGAACGATTTAAACAAACGAATCGTCGTACCACGAAGAAATTAAACAAACAATATTTTACTTTGCAAGTCAAAGTGTATGAATAATTCAGGCCTCGCGAGACGAACCGCAAAAAATAAACCTATCATTAAAATTGGAATAACATTGGTTTAGCAAATCATTATTATTATCTTAGCGTTCGTTATAAACCTAGGCCATCGTAATTATAAGATCTATTTTTTATGGGTATTTATCATTCAATTCAATCTCGCGGAGTATTTAAATAAATTGTAAAATAACAAATATGGACCTTCTCCGATATTTATTTATCGAGAGTAGTAAATAGATGTGATAATTAGATATTGTATCCCATAATAACCGTTTACAAGGAGAGACATTTGTGGGGCAGTATTTTTACGCGCGTAACACCGACGCGTAAATCTGTCTCAACTAGAGAAGCGTAATTGACGTATTTATTACGGAATAAATATATCCCGCTAAATTAACGCTACTTTCTTAGCATCTCACATATCGTATGCAGTTCATTCTACGAAAGTTGAAACTATATTAGGTGCTAGAACTTAACAAAAGATAACAATATACCTCCAGAAAAAATTGGAAGTTACTTCAAGACTTACTTCTATATACTAGTCTATAAGTTGTGACCCTAAGACTAGTACAAAAATATCAATTGTGTTAATCTACACATTTATGTATTTGGAAAGTTTCGAGGAAAAAGTTTTTGGCGCCAAACAACGTCCAAATAAGTGCGCGAACGAGTTCTGTTCATTTCTAAGAAGCGGCGGAAACAAAGATCGATGGGTTTTTAATTTCCAGGTAAACACGGTTTTGTCAACAAGGTCAGTTATTTCCTACATATTTGTCAGCTCAACCTGTCGTCTGTGAATCTTATTTTAATTTATATCTTCTAGATCAAAGGATCAAAGTAGGGCTGCCAGTGATGTTGGCATTTCAAACGTTTTGTCTAACGGAGGCAGAGGATCGAGAACTTGGATATTATGTTATTGATACTTATGAATTGTGTGAATTAAAAAAAAGAAACAATATTACACATATTTTATTGCCGAAAAACCCAAAAAAATATTTTTTTTATTTTGCTTGTCTGGTGAACTGATAGGTATGTTGTTATTACCTCTTTCTTATTTTATCAAAAAAAAAATATGGTTTTAAAGTAATACTGTACAATATTACAACCATAGACGTACCAAAAGTTATAAAAGATTAAAAATATGCATTCTTAATGGACCATGACAATTTGTATAAAGATTCCTTTTGTATTTTGAATATTAATTTGTAGTAGCGCTTTTGCGCTATTTCTAATCTTATGCCTCAATAATCGTAAAAATAATTGGCTTAAAACTTAAAAGCTCCATGTTATAAATGTTTCGACGCCATTATAAAACCACGTGTTAATTGCTTTTGCTTAATTTATCTAAAAACATTTTCTTCTATATCCTTTAATCGTTAATTGCGTGACATATTTATAACATAACATTTGTTAAACCCTAAATATGATGAAGTAGTCTGACATTTTATTTAACCGCAGTTGTCTTACAAACGAACTAAAACACAAGTTAAAGACTAAACTGAAAAACGTGTAGTAGAAGGCGAACTAGCGATTAATTTGAAATTTAACACGGATATCGTCTCGGCTGCTTCACCCTCAAAATCTAGTTCGGTTTTACGATCGTCCTTTTGACACATGACAAGATTGGCCCTCTCCTCGAAATGGATTCTCAAATTGAAATCCTCAAAGATACGTTCGCAGTCGTCAATCGATTTCAGAGATCATCGAGAGATAAACCGCTTTAGTGTTGCCCTATTGTCCTTTTATCGATAATCGCTTATCGGCGATTGTTGCAAACGCTTGACCCGGAGGTTGACACGATTTATAGTTTAGAAAATAAATGTTAACATGAGACCGAAGAGTATTTGCATACACTATTAGAATACGCCTGAAAATACATAACCTAAAGGAATTGTGGGAATTTAAAATATGTAAACGGCCGTGGATAGGAGTATGCAACTGTTTGTGAAAGTGTATGCATACTTCTAAACGATAACCTAATACCAGTAGGTTACATAAGAAAAGATATTCAGTACTAGTACCATTACTAGTAGTTTAAATCTTACGTATTTTAGTAAGTATTGTTCAAACGACCATGCAATGTGCAACCTGTAACCATCTTTAATAAATATCTAAAGTTAAAGCTTGAATTGTCAATAAACTAAGTAAAGTAGTAACCCAATTTTAAATACATACATATATTCATTTGATATTTTTAAAATATAACGACAATCGATATGCCTACCTAGACATCTCTAAAATTTACACGACTCATTTTATTACTAATTTTCTGAAGTCCAGACTATTATACGAAGTGGGCGATAAGATAACATTTAGAATATTTAGAACGACCAATTAAGGGGAAGCCTCATATGCATGGCTAATGACTTAATTAGCTAGGCATTTCAGTTTGTGCGACATTTTTTCTATATTCCTGAGTGCACGCTGAAAGTGGCTGCATACTTTGTAAAAGAGGTAATAATTTTAAACAACATTGCTCTAGTATTTAATATAATATATTTTGATGTGTAAAATAATTGACATTATTGTAAGTACTTATAGAATTTGTGTATGTGCCAATAATGTAATTAAAACTAAGTGCACGTTTCTAAACGAGAACAACTGTGGATAATCGCAATTATTTCCTGCAACCATAAACAATGCCTTGACAAGTTTTCTACCGCCATTTAAACGTGACGGCCCATTTTACGGACCATTGCAATGTCTTCACAGATTATATCGAGCAAGAAAGTTTATAAAAGTAAACCCTGACTTTGTTTGTTTTATCGATATCATTATATGTATATGCACGGCATTATTTAAATTGAAATTTAATTAAGATTGAAATAAACCTACGACACGGACGGGGCTTCTACAGCGTTTCGTGCTGCAATTCGAACCAATTCAAGTCCCGCTCGCGTCCATTTTTTTTATAAATGTATAATAAGTACAAAAAGCTAAACACACTTTTATGGACTTATAAAAACATTACCCATTTTCTCTTAGCTCTTGTCGTTGTCTATTATTTGACTATGTACAAAAATAACTCAGGCCTTAATAATAGTGACCTCTAGTTTAGAATAGCGAAACCTACGTTAATTTGCCTGGCGGGGTCTCGCTACGGGAGGTCTACGTTTGCATGATAAATCGGGTCCTTCGAAGATGAAATCTATTACATTTACACAATTATAAGTTAAAGTAGATATATTTATGTCCTTGTAGTCATTGCTGCTACTTTATTTTGTGAATTGCTATTTTACACATTAAACAACAATAATTATAACTTGTTATAGCTAAATACTGTCTATAGTTTACGCGACTAGTACACCTTTAAATAAAACACTTTAACGGTTTAAAACGCGATATAATAGTTAAACTTATTTGAAAATGATTTTTAACTTCGGCGCGACATTTCGGATGCTTTGCTGCAGCCGTGGTCACGGGGAGACGTCGGGCCGAAGTTAAAAATCATTTTCAAATAAGTTTAACTAATATATCGCGTTTTAAACCGTTAAAGTGTTTTATTTAATTGTTAGAGCTAGTTAAAATAAATTTAACGTAATGGGAACTTTATTATTCTTAAATATATCTCACGAAATCCACTTGAAACATGAAATAAATATAGCTTAAAACATGTTTCGGTCGCGTCACTTACAGACATATTAAGTTATATCACGAAAATTCAAATTATACATATTAAGTCTCGCCGTCCGTATAAGGTATTGCCTAGTAATTCAAAATGCTTCCTAAACAAATTGCCACCACGATAAATCAGTCCAGTAGTATGAAACCGACGATCGGCAATATATCAAGGAATATTGAATACAACGAAATGCTAATACTGAATTGTGGCACAATTTATAATACATAAGTAAGGCTTTCGCCATTGGTGCATGTTCATAATTATAAAGAATAACGTTTACACGATTTTTTTACACCATAAGTGAAATCTCGTAACTGCCTGTGGGCGAACATAATTTTGTGTCCGTTTCACTATGTAGTAGTTGATCAGAGTTATGTGCCCTGCCCGACCGAAACACATTCGGTTATAGATTGTTTTGTAAAGCAATATGCCGATTCGTGGAGTGTAACTTCTATTGTAGACATCACTAGCTGCAATAAGACGGCTCATTATAGGAGCCATTTTGGACATCTGTTGTAGGATTCTTTGTAATATTATGTGCTAAGCGTGTACCGACTAGACGACAGCTTTATAGATCTAACTTTAGCCGCAGATAATAGAAACTCTTTGATCATTCTGCCCCAATGGCGGTGGGCGCTTTCGCTCGTTATAAATCTCAAACCGAATGCTAACGTAATTGGCGTCGTTAACATGTGATTAGATTTTATTATATTTGTTTCGTTGCGTGTAATTGGCATCGCGGAGGAGCTCATTACATTTGTACGCGATCCGTTAGTTGATATATCGAGATCGTGACCATTGTGAATTCAGCAATTTCAAAATTATTAATACCGTATCTCTTTTGTTTCAGAAGGATCTCTCGGACGATTGTGTGTTCGAGGAACATATAGAGGAGAATAATTACAACACGTATTCGAGGATACGTGGCGGGAAGAAGACGTTCCTGGCGCTGGACAACCGGGGCAAAGCGCGGCGGACGCAGATCCCGGTGAGCAGGCCCCTCGGCAACCTCTCCGGGTACGCCCTCACGCTGACCAAGCGCTGGGAGGGCCCCAAACACACGCAGTGCCCGCCGCGACGGCACCGCGGCAAGCTGAAGCGGCCGCCCCCCTTCCACAGGAACTGCCAGCGCCGCGTCGCGAAACAGAACATGCGGAAACGGAAGCACAAAAAAGCGAACGATCCGAAAAAAAAGCGGCATCCGAAAGCGCGGAGAAAACACGACAGCACGACGAGCACGACGGAGGTGAGCTGGGACGAATCGACGATGTCCACTATGTCGACGACCGACGAGTTTTTTCGGTCGGCGACCGCGCAGGAGGCGACCGGTCGCGCGTGAGCCGGTCGCTGGTCGCGGTCGGGGCCGCCGTGGCGCTCGCACACTAGCACCGTTCCACTTACGCAAGAATCTCTTAGCCACGGTCGGGGGTAGGTGTTATCTTTGAAGGGTACATCATATCGAGAAATCTAGGGCCTTACAGTGACCCGAGTTTTACCAAGATATAATAGCATCGATTGAAGTTGACCGTGCGTTCAATTGGTGATTGATGGTGTGACATTAATATTGTATGTTATTATATTTTGGTGAAATTGGGTTTATGGGCCTTTTTTAGAAATATTCATATCGCAATGGTCGTGATTGTGTCACGAAATATGTTGTAACCTACAGTTGCTACATATGCAAAAAATTGATTATTCCTTGCTTCACTCGAAATTCCCTGCCAAGTCTAATTAATATAAGTTAATAAAAACTTCATTCTTGTAATTTTACAGGCAGCGAATGTTACAATAATTTCTTTAAAAGAAAATATTGTTTCCGCGCTATGATCTTATCATTCCTACTAAACTCTCAATAACGCAAATCGAATCGTAGTCAAATTTATCCGGATTTGTGGTGAAACTCGCCCGTGTATCGTTAACTAACGGTTTAACACAAGACGGAGATGGCGCCTGAGTGCAATTATTGCTTCGGGCAACTTCTATTTCGACTAAGGTGAATGAAATTCTTGCTTTCTTCCTCTCAATTACCTTAATTCGAGAATCCTCAGCCTGTCTCCTTTCGGGCCTTGAATTGTTAATTTTAATGATACCCTAAAATATTCTTCCCCCCTAAATACTCAACAAGTGACGTAACGTCAAAACATGATATTATTCTACCAAAGCTACTGAAATTATCTATCTCAATTATATTCCTAGTTCGCTTTAACGTAGACGTATCGGATTCCAATAATTGTGTTAGTTACGAAATTAATTTAGTCGATAACTTATGATTAATATCGAATGTAAACGAAGCGAGATTTATGTTTGCTAATGTGGAACTGTGTTAGTCGGTGGAAAGATCCTTATTCGCGGCTAATGGCCTGCAAAGTTACGTGTATATATTAACAGTAGGGCCAGTCCTTAAAAACGCGCAGCGATCAATTAAATCCAACTGCGTTAATAAGTATTGCCCGTTTCTTTGGAGTGTCCCTACTGTTCGATTTACTCTATGGCTCGACTGCGTCCGAAGTAGTTTAACCTTTCAACCGAATCACGCGCCTGTTTATTATTCGTATATCATCCGGAACCATTTCCTGTTCAATTAAGTGTAAGTGATCCGTTAACGGATCCAATACGGCTCTGTTTTGAAATCTCATCGGTCTCTCCATCTTTGTAGTAACTTAAAGGCAACTTTGTCGCGAATGTGGGTCTCTGCTTGTTTTTTGTACTTAGACGGTTTTGATTGGTGTATTTTCATAAGGAATTGACTGAAAATATATGACTGAGTAATGTAGGTACCGTCGGGTTTGGCATAGGCTATGATAGTGTAACGTGCGGCGGCGGCATGCTTCTGTTATCTGTAAGTTAGGGATGAAGCAAACGATTTCGCACTGTCCGAACGTTTAAAATAATCGTGGTTCTGCCCTTAGTCTATGGAATTAAATACAACACCGGACGTCGAGCGAGATCGTCGGCTTCTATCCGCCGAATAAAATGGATTAGTGATAAAAGTTTACGGCGATGAAGTGACTATTAGTAGTTAGACATATACGTGTATGTACTTTGTAAATTATTTATTTTATTTTCCATAGAGAAAGTCGTATTTTGTTAACGTTTTAGTTGATGTTTTAATTATTCTCGACCCCTTAGTTCCATCCGATGTAGATAATAGGGTGACATACGCTTGTAATGTTAGTGAGCAATTGTATTATATTTATAATCGTTCTATAGCAATATGCGATTTGCACGGTTTGTATGAGAGAGTGTCACGAACGAAGAGTTCATATTATTACACGAATACATTCTTTATCTATATGTATTGGAATTTTTTTCATTCTACCCGCAATCTTAGAAAAATCATTTGCGGACTAGCATTTCAAACATTGTTGGTATCTGGCTAAAATCGATGAATATTCAATTTGACTACGAAATTCTTCTCTAACGTTTAAACCATGGATATTGTCAGTCAGAAATATAATCAGTATTTCCACACTTGTCGACAATATCGAATCGAAAACGACGAATAAACGAACTGTGTGCCCAGAAATTGGAAATACAAATTTCGATTAATATTCATATTACGAGAAAAGTAATATGTAATTATTTATACTTTATGTAAAACAATCGAGACGAACAAGTATTAATAGTCCGTTGATGAAATATTAAGTGCAGTGAATATTCATTATGACAAGCTTCACGAGTATACTTGTATGTAAGATGCATGATGAATCTAGTTATTTATTAGGTCTGTGGTTACAAGAAATTAACAAGCTAATTGTTGTACTACGAAAAAACATATAATCGTACGCTGTATAAAATTGTCGCAAAGGTCTTTATTATGTATAAGCATCTAAATGTATTTTATTTTCCAATATATGTTTGGCATATCACAATATTTGAAGAATATGTCATAATAGTAAAAAGCCCAATACCTGAAACTTGGGACGTACTTCCTCTGAAATCATTTTTCTACATAGGAAATCATTATTACTATCCCATACTCAGTATTGGTGCATTGTGAATGGTAAATTGTAATTAGACACTGATTTTTACTGAAATGTAAGATGATCAATTCTCGACAATTTTAATTGTGTATCATTTGAGTTTGTCTAACTTGACTAGTGGCCTTGTGCAACATATGAATTTAAAGAGGAACAATTAGTAGATCTTATTATTTAAATAATTGTATGTAACTGCAATACAATATGCGTTTCCATATTTTAGTTTACTTTGTCGTTGTATCATATGTTATTTTTGTTATTTATATCTACACATGTGCCATAATACCCTACTTTTAATAGGGTTATACGATAAAGTACCGATTATATTTAACATTTAATGAGAACGATTCAATGAACTATATCTACTTAACAGCATTCACAGAAACCATAGGATGAACAAAGACGATTAATAAAGTTTTTCTTTGGTTTTGTTGCTTTGTAATTTCTATAAAAAGAGTATATTGTTGCAATGGAAAGTTTTTTGCACATTGTAAGGTTAAATACTTCAATAAGGATATTGTCTAAATTCGATTAAAATATTCATCAAGTTTTTGGTTGCGATAATTGGCAAAAGTGTTTCATACAACCCGGCGGTCTATAGGTGGCCCTTGCTTGTAACAAAAATGTATTGAAAACTCAGCTTTGTACCCACCAAGAAATGGCTTCTATCCCAGACTACCTGCTAAAGTCGTGGTAGAACGGATATCAGTCGAACAGTATTACTTAATTAATTTCGATACTTTACAATTTATAAAATATAGCTGTATTCGTGATAATAATTGTACAAAATCAATTGATAAACCATATTATTATGAATATGAACCACATGTTCATTGGGCGATGATAGAGGAAAAGCGGGTAGAATTGTACATTTGAAAGTTTAACATAATAATTAATACCTGCTCTCCAGGAAACACGAGTTTAAAAAAAGTAACAAGATGAATTACTACATTGTAACGTAGATTTAATGAAGGATGAATGAAACTTTTTAGACAATAACAATATACAGCCTCTTATACCGAAAAAATGAATAAAGATTCTTTAAATATTTGCCAATGTTTTATTTATTCCAAGCAATACATTTTATTTTATTTTTCATAAAATTGCAAAATTAATTGAAAGTATATGAGAACTGTACAAATTAAGATGGCATTAATTATAGGAAATTAGTTAAGATGATGTTTTCCATATCCAAGAGCCTTTAAATCTTTCTAATAAAATTTTAAAAGGAAACAAAGTAAAATCAATATAAGATTATACATTAATGTTTAGATTTAACTGCATAAAATATCTTAACTGGTCATTTTACACATCTTGGTTCGAAAGTATCAAAATTAGTTTTAATTAAAATATTATTTTAAATGCGGACTCCGCAATATCGTGTTATTAAATGACAATTTACGCAGCCAGTAACCTAACATTGACAGTTAGCATCTTTCAGAATTGTCAATTGTCACGCTAAGATGTCAAATGATTGGTCATTCATTTTCCGTTTCCACTCGATGTTTTATTCGATCGTCGCCATTTTGTTGAACAAAAACGATAGTAATCACGAATCACGATGCTATCAGCTCGATTCGATACACATTAACAATCGGATTAATAAAAGTGAAACGTTTTGGTCGTGAATTGATTATTAATCGGGAATCGATAGAAATGAAGAGAACGCCATCCATCGTTTGGCGATTCTTCGATCGTATTGAACAAGATAACCGAGTGGTGGCTATTGTGTGTAAATTATGTGATAATCAATACAAATATTTTGGGAACACCACAAATTTGCGTGCACATTTAACGCACAAACATCCCATTCAATGGGAGCTGGGACAGAATGAATCGCTAGAGGAAGGACTTCGCATAGCAGGCACCGACGACGACACGAACCAATCTTCGCTACTACGGCAAAGACGATACAAAAAGTCCCGCAAAAATGATAACGTATGTTATTCTATATCAGTTGATAAAAATCCTGCTAATGGGGGTGAGGAGGGTGGCATGCCCACAATTAAAGTACGCAACGTATTTATGTAATCAATAGTTTGTTTCATATGGTTTTATCACTATTATGTCATAAACGTATGTAACCAATGGGATAGATTTGTAATTCTATACCTTTATAAATATATAAAATATACTTTGCATACTGCACATAACCATACCATTTGTCAAGCAAGAATTATAAGAAATAATATTACACTAACTGATATGATGACTGTAACCAAACATAGCATCATTAATAAATGTATAAAGTGTATGTGTCCATAGATAGTATAGTAATTTTCTTCAGTGAAGACAACTATATATCAGTTAAATAAATATTTGAAATTTCAGGTTGATATGTTAGAAGTGGACACTGAAGGGGAACATGATGAAGAAACAATTAATTTAGTCAAACAAATGCATGGCGGTTCAGATGAAGAATGGCTTAATGAGGATGTGTTTGAAACAGTTGAAGCATATCAGCCGCAGAAAAAAAGAAGAATGTCATATAAAAGCATTAAAAGAGAGGTGACTAGTCCACAACCATTGACAACTTCTTATTCCCGTCCAACCCCAACAACAAAGCGAGTTATTATCAACAACAGAAGAGATGAATATCAAACCTTTGGTGAATATGTTGGTAACAAACTGAGGAAGTTCAAAAACAATGAAACTCGGTCAAATGTTCAGCAATTAATTACAACGATTCTATGGCAAGCTGAGTATGGAGTTTATAACAATATGGAGACAATAAAAAGGGTTTTGTTACATTCTGTACAAGAAATGAATACACAGCAAGATATCAATATGGAAAAAACAGAAGATACCACCGGTTCTATCGAAGAAACACATGTAGAAACTATTATTTCTGAATAATTCCAAAGAAACTACCTAAAGTAAATGAAATAAATAAAAGATTTGAATAAAACTATTTCTTAATATTCCAAAGAATGTTTCTTATTAAAATTTTAATTTTATAATTGAGTTTAGGACACTAAAAAGTAAAATTTTATATATTTAAAGTAAGTTTTGGCCTATTTTTAACCCATGCTTATTATTTTTATGACAGACCAGACTGACATGTCGGTAAGATTCTAATGTAAATATGATCTTATTATCATGTTAATTTCGAGGTCAAAGAAATATTGAAATTGGATAGTATATAGATAAGTAACGTATCTGACCATAAATGTCAATGTCAAGTGTCAACGTCCAGCTGTTTTAGCAAAATGGCGTGTTTGTCTCGAACATCGCGGAAAATATTAAATAATGCGAAATTTTCACGTTTTATCTCTCGCGATAGTGCTTTTGTAAAACAAAACAATTACCATAATGTCTGGACCGCTTGTGCCTGTGTTATTGGTAGTGGTGTTATTTTCTATGCAGTTAAAAATAGATATGGAAGACACACTGTCTACGCGCTTAAAGCTAAGGTAAATCTGTTTTATTTTTACACCGGTACATAATGTGTACACACCCATATCTCGTATCACTTATGTAAAAAATATTTAATGTTTTAACACAACTATCCCGCTTACCAAGGTATAAGACGTGAATTTTATTGTTAACGTTGTGGGTGTCTGCTTTACTATGTTTTTTTTTTAATATAGATTGAGTAAATATAGTTTTTTTTAGAAAACTTTAAAATTCATGGGATTATGATATCATTAAAATAGGACTCAAAAATGGCTAAGTAATTATTATACGAACCTACTAGAAATATGTATTAATTTTATAATTAAAAGTAAGTAAATCAATCAATATGACTTAGTGGTTGACCTATATCAGTCATTGTTACCAGTTTAAAAAAAATTAACTATAAGATACAAATATCTCTATTGTTTCCTTAAATATTATCAGTGGAACAAAATAATTTAAAGTATTGGCTACATTTTTGCATATTCTGATAAACAAACTTTTATTTACTAATTGCATTTTATTGCAGTCATGAAATGTGTTTTTACTTTGTTGTTTTATGAAGTGCGTGTGAGTAGTCTATCTAGCCCAATATGGGATTTATTTTAAATAAAAAAAAAATATTTGTATATTTCAAAAGAATAGAAATTATTAGACTAGTATTCCCTATCAGCAATATACCTTAAAAAACAAATCAGTAAGAAATTGCTGAGAGTACCTACAAGTTCAAAAAGTGTTTTTTTGGTATCTTAAATGATGAAGAGGGTTCTATAGATGACCCCTGAACAGGTTTCATACATGATCAAATTACTGATGTCAGTCATATTCATATATAAAAATATAGTATATTTTTGCAGTACCTAGTGGCAATTTGCTAAGTATCTTTATTTAAAATGATGTAGCTCTACATCATTTTAACAAAAAAAAAAATTTAAATCTTTAAAAAAAAAAAAATTTTTTTTTTTTTTTTTTAAAATTTTTTTTTTTTTTTTTTTTTTTTTTAAAAAAATTTTTTTTTTTTTTTTTTTTTTTTTTTTTTTTTTTTTTTTTTTTTTTTTTTTTTTTTTTTTTTTTTTTTTTTTTTTTTTTTTTTTTTTTTTTTTTTTTTTTTTTTTTTTTTTTTTTTTTTTTTTTTTTTTTTTTTTTTTTTTGCTAATGACTATTTAAAATGTTGTAGCCCCTCTACATCATTTTAACTAAAGATAAGTTTAGATCCTGAACTAAATAGCAATGTCAGTCATTTTAGTAATCAAAATATTTTGTTTGAATTGACATTTAGATTACAATATTAAAAAAAAAGCTAATCTTCTAACCCACAAAGAATATGATTGTAGTAAGTCACAGTACTTCTATGTCATTTTATAATAAAGTAGTTTGTGCATTTTTAAGGGCTGGTGGCAGTATAAATGCACCACTTGCTTTCAGGCCCATCTACCGCGTGTTCTATGATTATCTTTAAGCAATATAATAAGCGCGAAAGGGTGGGGGTAGATTTTCAAGGAAACACAAAATAATTGGTTGAGCTGGTCCCAAAGTTAAGTCTGAAACCCTTACTGTAAACCATCCAAAAATACATAGCAATAGACAACCACCCGCGTCGTAACAAAGAATCTTGTTTGAGATTAAAATTCACCGACGCGAGAACTAATGCTGGACGATTAATTTTCTATGTGAATCGTAATCAGAGCACAGTGTATAGTGTCCAGTAGGGAGTACAAAAATAAATTACAATCGTAAATTTTTTGTCCTTCACGTAGTAGGTATAATAATTTCGTGTCGAAAAAAATGATTATTATTGATGATGACTTACTTAATTCAATTAGATAGAAAGGAAAGTAAGGTAAACTAGAAATAAGAACTAAAGTAAACTAAGCAAAGAGGTCTTCGATGAGATTTGAACGACATCTTCTGTCGTACGGCCAAATTAAGTTTGCAATTTACAAAAACGGTGCTTATTGTGTTTGCACCTGTGTTTTGATTATGTGGTTTGTATTTCTATTTTTGTACTGTGTCTGAGGGTATAAGGAGCTTTTAGATTTTTAATCTTTTTCTACACGTGTCAACGGGATAATGAGTCCCCCGCGTGAATACTAATGGGACATTGGAGTAATTGCTTTCGATTTTTTTCGGTTTCACTTTCAAGTCGGCTTATGTGGTAAGGTTATTCATTTTATTGTATTGTGGGATCGCTTTTTAAAATACATTCATCTAATTGCTTCATTAATTATTTAGTTTCGAAGTTTTGAACACTGGGTAATGTATTAAGTAAAGCCGCTACTCTTCTCCCCACAAGGTCTTCTACCTACATCTGCGTCTTAAACTTAAGCCTAAGAATTATTAGGAGTACCTAAGATATTATTAAGATTATTTTAAAGAATACTGAAGGATAGCGCATCATTTACAGCTTAAACGAGCTTAGTGCTAGGTATTCGTTACTGCCTGTCGATGGTGTCGATATTAATCTCGATAGCCCGATGATTTGCTCGTTTTTTGAGACTGTGGCGCCTTCACGTCGTCGCCTTGCAAATGCCACTATTATCTGTAGACTTTGTTCTATGTATGTTAAAAATAATTGCCTTTTAATAAATGAAAATGATTGAAGTCAACTTTTGTTTATTTAAACAACATTTCGCGACACAAAAAGTACAAACTACCATTTATTATGGGACATTTACCCAAAAACGGAAATATTTTCTTGCCTACGCGACGTAGGACATGATAAAATTCACGTTTATTTCTTATACAATATATCATAAATTATAATTATCGTGAATCACTGAACCAAAACGATGAATCATTAATAATATTCACTTCGCACTATCCTAGACCACGGTTTGTTATATGAATAATACATTAACGAAACATAGACAATCGGATTTTATCAAAAAGGTTGCGGTTTTACCAGGATAGCGATGGTCTTCCTTACCCAGTATGATGACGTTATATTACATTCAGGTGGTCTGAATTGATTGAAATATAAAGACGATTAAAAGAATGGCAAACTCGTGATGTGTTTTATAATAGCCGATAGTAATAGACCCGGCCTATTTCGGAGAACGTATGACTAATGAATCTTGCTTGTAAATTTAAGTTATATAAATTGCTCGTGTTCAATTCACTAATTACTAAATATATAGATAATACTTCATGTCCACTGATGGTCTCACGCACGATATGTATACTACAAAATACAAATGCATTCGGTTAAAAAAATATCACGTTCCAACAAGACAAGTACAAGATGTTAACAACGTATTTCTTACCAGACCCGAGTTCTTTACTTTGAATTATATTTCTAAAACACTATTGATCTCGTTCAAACGTGTTTTTTTCTCTTCGTGATCGTTTTTATTTTCTGTTATCAGGATGTAAAAATGCTCTTCAAAGTTTTATATGTTTCTATGGATTTTTCCTTTTCCGTTAGTAGTAACGTTTAACATTTATAGCAGGCTAATTTTCTTTAATTTAGTTACAAACCGGTAACGTATAAAAACATTTGGCACCAAAAGATATCATGACTGCTACTGTATTTCTGATAAGGTGATGACAACTTGTAGAGCTGTTCTAGACAATCTGTATTAGAAAACTTATCTGGCTTTTTTTGTTTCTAATAGCTTAAAGACCGCTAGGCGTTAAAGTTGATGCCGATTGACCCGGTATCGTGTTCGTAACAAAACACCTTGATAGTATCGCTCCCACGATTTCAACTAAATCACTCCATATTAACGCTGCATTCAGCCCCTAAATCGCGCAACCCCTTCACCAGACTTATTCGAAGAACAGACCACCAACGATGCCCTTATTAGGTCACTGAGACATTTTTTGTGTCAGAAAATTCCCAAATAGGCTCTTGACGCTCATTGTCTAGGATTCTGATATAATGCTATAATTTGTTCTCGATTTTATGACGGTTTATTGTATGCTTTCGTTATAAATAGGACGTTTAGCTTTTTGTCGTCTCAATATTTAAAACAGCTTAAATACTTTGAAAAGAGAAATACTTTATTATAATATTATTTCAGTTTATTATTTACAGTTTTTATTTGTATTTATATATATAAAAGTATTCAAGCTATTACATAATATGTTTACTTTAGAAGTTAGATTACAACTGTTTAATAACCACTTTTTTAGTTTAGTTGACAGCATCCCAGTTTTATTAAGATAACTGTAATCGAACAGTGCATATTGCATGAAAGCATTTTTAGGCGAAATCTATTAGTTAAATTACTTTTTACTATCACAGAGGGGATTTTCTTAATTAATCCTTGTTTTGCTTCATCAATAACCTAAGAAATACTTACACAGCATCTGCAGCAAATGTCCGGGTCGTAGCTTTCTAGGTTATCGCGATTATGTGACACTGACGTTACCAGAAAATATACTACTCGACAATATTATCTCGTATTTGACACTTACAGTTTCGTTTGTCGTGCCATTGTTGAAAATAGGTGTTCCTGCTAGAGCAGAATAAGTTGTTTTCCTGTTGAGAAATCTTGTTTACAACGCGAAATCGCATTAAAATATGAAGTTTTACTACCGTTCTGTAGTGTAGGACGAGGAACATAACTAAATAATAAACTTACTTTAGCCTATAAACTTTTAAGAGTATATTGGTAAGCTATTTATAGCCATGTAAGCCTCACATCTTGACGATCTGAAACTGAATTTGCCTCATCTGACTTAAATTGTACCCCACCCCCCGCAGATCTGTTACCGTCAAGCGCGTAATATATTTTCGCACTCCATTAGAGGGAAATGCACGTAATTGATTAGCACCAGTGCCGCAGTGACATTGAGGATATGTAGCTATTTGGCAAGAATTCTTTGCACGTTAGAAATGTGACGAGACTTTTACTTTGATGAAACATGCTTCTGCGAAATATATTTATACACTAGCTGTGTCAGCGACTTTGTCGTAGAATAGGGCATTGGGCAACTAAATTTGTATTTGCTAACCTCCTCCACATTTTTATAAATGATATGCGTCCCATGGTTTTGGCGAGTTAGTCTTAAA